TGAAGGACATGACAGAGCTCTCGGACAAGCAACCTGATGTGGCTGCGAAGTTTCAAGCTGGACATTTCACAGCAAAAAAGACAGCCCGCCGTTTTTCTGCAATGGCACTAGACCAGGCCTATGAGCAGAGCAATGCCTGCATCAAAGGTGATGGTGGTGCAGTCGGTTTGACTGGAAACCCTAGTGCACTTCGACGGTGTATGGTTGCAGGTCCAGAAGTAGCACGGGTCATTGCTGAATTTGAATCATCGCAGAAAGCTGAGCAAACCAAGGCTAACTTCCACCATCATGAGCAAGCCAACACGACGCAGGACAAGTTTCTTCAGGGTGTGAAAGCACTTACACTTGCCATGGAAGAAATGGGAAACCCATTTGAAGAAGAAAGTGCTGACCTAATGGTTCTTCATACAAAGGAAATCTTGTGTCCAGAAACCGTGAAGAGTGTGCAAAATGTTGTCAAGCTTGGACAAAATAATTCCATTCATATGTAAGAGAACGCCTTGAAGACAAGTCTAAGCCTATTAGTGACACTAATAAGCTCAACAAGCTAACACTATTCAGTGCTATGAAATCCAAGTCTCCAACTAGGAGTAAGCAGCAACTAGCCTTCGCAAAAGACGACTGTGGACTTTTCTCCAGGCTCTACATAGCCTGTCAAACAAGATAGGGTGATTTGGACGAATTCTTCAAGCATGAAAACCGGGCCTATCCACCAGCACTCTCCAGTAATGGGAAAACTCGGCTTCAGCAAGAAGGCCGACTTACTCACACCCCTTGAACAGCTTGCTGACAAAATCACTGACGCTCCACATGTCACCTCAACTATACTCGATGGACCTGCCGTTGTGGAAATGTTCAAGCCAGGAGGCAGCAGGACATTTCAAGAACACAGCACAGCTGTATTCATTCCCTATATTGAATCACAGCTCGAATATCGATCTTGACTTGACCTGGTATGGGATTGCTACCTGAAATCTGGGAGCCTAAAAGCAACAGTAAGATGAAACCATGGCAAGGGCATTCGAAGACGCGTCACTGCCTCTGGTCCTCTACCTAGCAACTGGCAAAACTTTCTCCGCAACGGTGACAACAAAGAGGAACTCTTCAGTTTCCTGTCGGAACAGGTTATGCAGTTGGTTGTCAAAGAAAGTAAACAGCTGGTTGTCACAGACAAGAAACAGGTACTCACTGTTCCACCCCGGAAGGACACTGCCAACTTGGCACCATGAAACCACGAAGAGGCCGACACTAGGATGATGGTTCATGCAGCTGATGACTTGGAATGTGGTCATCGGCGTATACGCATTCGTACCGTTGATACAGATGTTGTGATCCTTGCAGTTACTCTAGCGAATGAACGGGGTGAGGTACTAGATGAACTATGGCTTACTTTTGGCAGAGGAAAGAATCGACGTTACATCGCAACACATCAGATTGCAAAGGCCCTGGGACCTGTGAAGTCGAGAGCTCTTCCAGTGTTTCACGCAATAACGGGCTGCGACACGGTATCTGTCTTTGCAGGTCATAGCAAGAAGGCAGCCTGGGCCACATGGAATGCATTTCCGGAAGTGACAACCGCCTTCCTCAGTCTGGTTTCCACCCCAAGTGAGCTGCCTGATGGTGTCCTGTCGACACTGGAGAGATTCATCGTGTTGTTCTATGACCGTACGAGCACCTGCTATGACGTGAACGTGCTGAGAAAGAAACTGTTTTCAGGAAAATCAAGATCACTGGAGAATCTCCCACCAACACGAGCAGCTCTGGAGCAGCACATAAAGAGAGCTGCTTATCAGGCTGGACATATCTGGGGACAGGCCGCAATAGCGTTTGTCATTCTGCCATCACCATGTGACTGGGGTTGGATGAAGTCGGGTGATGAGCTGGAACCACTCTGGACCACACTCTCTGAAGTGTCAAAGTCATGCCATGAGCTCATCTCTTGCGGTTGCAGAAAACACTGCAGTGGCAAGTGTAGGTGAAAAAAGCTGCACTTTAATGCACTGGACTTTGTGCATGTGAAGGTGGCTGTTAAGGCCAAATATCTACAGAGATTCGGCCTCAATAGCCGAATGTTCAGAAATTTTTTTTAAGTTTTGGGAGTTCGGAAAATTTGTATTTTAGTTTTCCAGTGTAATGCTTTTAGTTGTCTTTTTCATTGTAATAAACTTCGAAAACTATCACAAATGATTTTCGTAACCACGATTATTTATATTGATGCATTGGAATGAAATATGCAACCGTAAAAACAGAAATACATAGTTTAGCGTATCCTGAACGGCGGCCATCTTGAAATTCAATATGGCGCCCACAGAGGTTGAGTTTCTAGTGGTTCCATATCTGAAAATATTCACCATGTATTACTCTATATCTGTGCCAAAGTTAATGCTTTCATCATAAAATGCACAATTGTTTGGCTATGCCGCTGTACTATTAGCATCATGAAGTAGAACATGGCGTGATACCACGGGTGAATATAATAGAAAATGCACTGTAAGAAAGGTAATTTTTATAATATATGTCATTTCAAAGTCTGATAAAACAACAAATGGTAAAGGTGTAGAAGAGGGTGACCACGAGAAGGAATTGTCCGAATTGGTTGAATTTTTTCTACTCACTACTATCATGATATTAAACACAAAAATGGAAACGATAATGCAGAGAACCTAATAGAACCTGACCAAACATACCCAACCTATGGGTTTGTGAGATCAGGTTCTATTAGGTTCTATGCATTATCGTGTTAATTTATGTGTTAAACAACCTACCTTAATATTTAGGTTGATATACATCAGCAATTGCTAGGAGGAATAGATGGAAGCGTTCACCATCATTTCGGAAACATCTAATGAAAAGGGATTCAGCGAGGTAAACAGCAAAAATGGCGCTGGGAGGAGAATTGTGAAGCGGGATAGAGTAAATAAATCCTAAAAAAATACTTAAAATTATAATAGAAAGTTGTCGTTTCTTATAATATACTTAAAATCATCAAAACAGTAAGTACAGTATAGCAAAAATCAGGAAAATTAAGAAACAACTTCTGGTGGTCACCCTTTTCTACACCTCTACTCAACAAATAAAGAACAGTAAATGACTCGCCGAAAATCGATGTATAACGGCGTGTAGATGCTTTGGACAAAGACACTGCAGTGAAAGTAATGAAAGGCACTGAACTCAAGAGGAAATCTAGGGGATCCGAACCCCCCCCCCCTTTTCATCAGAAAATTTCAATACTATTCTTTAATGCAGTATTGTACTCCGTTAATTTTGCATAGTAAAAATTAATAACTATTGACCTTGGAATATCCCCAAATAGCAAGTGCACATGGCTTCAAAATGCCCATGATATTGGTCAGATTTAAAAAAAAGAAAATTCTGGGGCTTACAGCGCCCCAAAAAAACACCCAGTTGGGTGGGCTCTCTTTGCTCGCCAGGTTCCCCCACTCAAAACTTCTTAGACCCCCCTTTTGATATTCCTGGATCCAGCCCCTGAAACTCAAACATGGAACAGGGCGAAATGACTGTCTTTGTGTTCCTAGTAGACTTCATCCTCTCGTGCTAACTCACCATAAAGCAGTATTGCTAAACTATCAATTATAAAATAAAGTAAATAAATTAAAATACCCAAATATTTATTTTATATCATTTTTATTTTGCATTTGATCCCCAAAAGGCCTAATTAACGGTCTACCGACATTGACTCATTTTTTTACCGTCCAGCAGACGAATTGCCGTCAAACGGCAGCACTGAACTGAGCTTACCATTACCAGGCAGACACACTTGGCTCGATACCTCGGTCTCATAGTCGGATAGGAAACTGGTTAAGATCTGTGCTCACTGGGGTCGAGTTGCTTCGTGAAGCAGTTTCTTCTCATGGTGTCAAGTTGAAGCAAGTGGTTGTTATGATGGTAGAGTGAGGAGGGGACAGAGTCGTCACAGTCCATATAAGTGTATACCACAAGGTGAGTGTATACACCAAAGTGAGTGTATACTTCAAGGTGAGTGCATACCTCAAGGTGAGTGTATACATCAAAGTTAGTGTATACATCAAAGTGAGTGTATACGTCAAGGTGAGTACATACCTCAAGGTGAGTGTATACATCAAAGTTAGTGTATACATCAAAGTGAGTGTATACGTCAAGGTGAGTACATACCTCAAGGTGAGTGTATACATCAAAGTTAGTGTATACATCAAAGTGAGTGTATACGTCAAGGTGAGTACATACCTCAAGGTGAGTGTATACATCAAAGTTAGTGTATACATCAAAGTGAGTGTATACGTCAAGGTTCGGGGACAACACAGTTGCAGACAAATAATAGACTAGAAGAGTACTGTACAGCAGGTGTCAGAGTTATAACTTGAGCATACAGCCGTATAGGAAGAGAGGTGAGCATAAGAAGACGTGGGTGAAGACACACGAGTACAGGAGAACTCAACACATCACGAGTACAAGAGAACTCAGTACATCACGAGTACAAGAGAACTCAGCACATCACGAGTACAAGAGACCTCAGCACATCACGAGCACACAAGAACTCAACACATCCTCACAAGTACAATTGGTTAGGTAAAAAAATATTGGAGTTGACCGTAAAGGAACATACGAGTACAGGGGAACACGGGGGTACAGGAGAACACTGGGGTACAGGAAAACACGGGGTACAGTAGGACACGGGGGTACAGGAGGACACGGGGGTACAGGAGAACACGGGGACACAGGAGGACACGGGGGTACAGGAGGAACATGGGGTACAGGAGAACATGGGGTACAGGAGAACAGGGGTACAGTGGGACAGGGGGTACAGGAGGACAGCAGGGGTACCAGGGGGTAGGGAGAACATGGGGGTACAGGAGAACATGGGGATACAGGGGAGGACATGGGGGTACAGGAGGACACTGGGGCAGGGAGAACACTGGGGTACAGGAGAATGGGGCACAGGAGAACACGGGGGGGTACAAGGAGGGGACATGGGGGGTACAGGGGAGGGGGTACAGGAGAACATGGGGTACAGGAGAACACGGGGTACAGGGCAGGAGAACACTGGGGTACAGGAGAACAGGGGAACAGGAGAACACTTACAGGAGGACAGGTACAGGGAGAACATGGGGGTACAGGGAGGACACGGGGGTACAGGAGGACACAGGGTACAGGAGAACAGGGTACAGGAGAACAGGGGGGCACAGGAGAACACGGGGGTACAGGAGAACACGGGGCTGGGAGGACACGGGGGTACAGGAGAACACGGGGGTACAGGAGAACAGGGGTACAGGAGAACACTGGGGTACAGGAGAACGTGGGGTACAGGAGAACGCGGGGTACAGGAGAACAGGGGTACAGGAGAACACGGGGTACAGGAGAACACGAGGGTGCAGGAGGAACATGGGGTACAGAGAACACGGGGATAGCAGGAGAACAGGGGTACAGGAGAACACGGGGATACAGAAGAACATGGGGGTACAGGAGAACACTGAGGTATAGGAGAACAGGGGGGTACAGGAGGACTCGGGGGTACAGGAGAACACGGGGTACAGGAGAACACTGGGATACAGGAGAACACTGGGGAACAGGAGATCACAGGGGGTACAGGAGGACACGGTGTACAGGAGAACACTGGGATACAGGCGAACACGGTGTGCAGGAGAACACTGGGATACAGGAGAACACAGGGACAGAGCTGATAACACTGGGGTACAGGAGAACAACAGGAGAACAGGGGGCAGGAGAACACTGGGGTACAGGAGAACACGAGGGTACAGGAGAACACAGGAGAACACTGGGGTACAGGAGAACACTGGGGCAGGAGAACACGAGGGTACAGGAGAACACTGGGGTACAGGAGAACACGGGGGGTACAGGAGAACACTGGGATACAGGAGAACACTGGGGAACAGGAGATCACTGGGATACAGGAGAACATGAGGGTACAGGAGAACACTGGGATACAGGAGAACACTGGGGGAACAGGAGACATGGGGTACAGGGAGAACACGGTGTACAGGAGAACACTGGGATACAGGAGAACACTGGGAACAGGGAGATCACTGGGATAAGGGAGAACAGTGTACAGGAGAACACTGGGATACAGGAGAACACTGGGGAACAGGAGATCACTGGGATACAGGAGAACACTGGGGGAACAGGAGATCACGGGGTACAGGAGGGTACAGGAGAACATGGGGGGTACAGGAGAACAGGGGTACAGTGGGACACGGGGGTACAGGAGGACACACGGAGGGACACAGGGGGGGTACAGGAGAACACGGGGTACAGTAGGACACGGGGGTACAGGAGGACACGGGGTACTGGTGAACATTGGGGTACAGGTGAACACGGGGTACAAGAGAACACGGGGGTATAGGAGGACACGGGGTACATGAGGACACGGGGGTACAGGAGGACACAGGTGTACAGTAGGACAGGGTGATAGAGGAGGACACGGTGATAGAGGAGGACACGGTGATAGAGGAGGACACGGTGATAGAGGAGGACACGGGGCTACAAGAGGACACGGGAATACAAGAAAACTTGGGGGTACAGGAGGACACAGTGATGCAGGAGGACGCTACGAAGTCTCGATTCCAAACTTGAAGAAATAATTAAAGAAAACAATCGTATTCTTTTTATTTTCATTATGACCTTAACCTCTGAGTGATTTAGGTCATATTCTGATGTAATACCCCAAGGGGTGTCCACAGCTGATTCCTCTTTGATTTGAGATACATGTAAACATTTTTAGGATATACAGTACATGTAATGTTTGTATAAAATAAATTTATTTTGCTTTATGATTTGGAGAAACATGACGTTATAGAGAAAATTTTGATCTTTGACATTGTACTTTCAAAAAATGTCACTGGTTGCTGTATGTCCAATGGCAAATATTTCTGGGGAAAACGGCTGCATCCCCAGGACCATTAAATAACTACATTGGGACAAAGAATGAAAACCCAGAGAACAAAGACATTGTTAAAACGGATGAAAATCTCCTGCCACCCTCATCCCCATATCTCTCGCTCCGTAAAAAAAAAAAAAAATCTTGTTAAACGCAGTTACCGGACAATTCGGTCACCCGTTAACTTTGTACCAGTCGTGTATTTCAATTGTTATGTTTCTCCCTTGTGTACAGAAGGTCAGCCAACTCATACAGGTACTCTCCGCCTACAAACATTTCACAACACCCTGCATCACAATAGTATATATATATATATATATATATATATATATATATATATATATATATATATATATATATATATATATATGCAAGTAAATCACAGGTGCGCGTGATCCAGGTATATACTGATAACATATAAATATATATATATATATATATATAAAATATATATATATATATATATATATATATATATATATATATATATATATATATATATATATATATATATATGCTGATAACCACAAGGAAAGAAGAAAACACGAAGTTCCCAAGCGCTTTCGTGTAATTCACATCTTCAGGGGCGAGTACAGACAGTTTCAGCAGTCATATGATACAATAGTTGGAACATACTATCTTGGTTTTTAAGTTTACCTGAGGCTTTGTTCACACAAGACCAGAAGGATAGCTAAAGCACAGAAATATATGTGTAGAATTATTCTTGCAGAAATTAAGCAAGTTAATAAGATAATCGGTTTCAACCATTCACTCATAATTGCTGTACTAAGGGTGAAAAGATCGAACTTCAGGTGTAGTATCTAACACTCAGTACAAAACTCCGCTCATGAACACAACTAACGTTATTCGTAGTTGTTGATCCAACTAAGACGAAAACTGAATACGTCAAGAAATTAACAATCCCAAGTAAAGGCCGATTCACACTACAGTATTCGTCACGTATCTGTAACATCACGAATCGGCAACGGTCCGTCAAAATTTCTTACATGTGGCGTTACTTGACAATGATCTGAAACAACTATGATCGTTTATCATTGTCACCATAATCATCCCTGAAAGAAGAGAAAATGTATTGGCAACTTTCTTCTGCACTCTACAGTAATACAGGGATGCTTATTGTTCCGAAAATTGTGTACTTATTCAAATTTAACAACACATACAATGTCTTCATGTTCATAAGTTATTTTTTTCCCGACATCGGTGGTATGAGTGTACATCTAATTTCACCAATCACCTTACAAGTCAAAGACGGCTGTCTAAATGGCGATGAAATGACTCAGGACAAATTATTGGATACAAGTTTGCGTTACCAGATAAGTATAACCAATATCTGGCGGATCACTGCAGTTCATCACACTCTGTTCACTGCATGCACTGCCAGCTAGTTTGACTGACTGACCTTCCGTTGGTGAAACACAGCATGGCATATATGTGTATATCCACAATCTGGTGTTTGGGTTGATCGGGCTGAGACGAAATCCTCATCCCCCATCATCAGAAACCACATAAAATATGAATAGTGAGCTTTGACCGCCACTGACATGTCCTTGTTGTACTCTAGAGAGATATCAAACTTTGGAGGAGCCTGTTTTTTCCTCATATAGCTTTTCAGCAGGCCGTTGTTCAATAACATCATGGTCATTGTTGGCGGTGGCAGTGATGGGTTTCTCTTGCCAGATAAGACCATGAGTTATCGAACTATAAATGAACGAGAGAATACATGGCTTTGTCGATGTTTGGAGGTAAGGGACCAGGGTTCTCCTTGACCTGGACGAACACTGCCATCAATGCCTCAAGCACCCTCGAGTATGATACACAGTGACCAAAACAGTTATGCCCAAAAGCATGTGTTTGGAGGTGACCCAGCGTCCGTTCATGGCAGCATACATGACATCATGATATAATGACTCAGTGAGGCGTCCTTTGATTTTCCCCAACAATCAGACACTCGATAAAATGGTGTAGCAGTGCTGAAGGGGAAGTACGATATTTAATCACCTTGCCTGGAGGAGGGAGCCAAGGCAGTTCATCTTGAGACTTAGAGGTAGACATAATATCTCGACGAAGAACGAGGGCTGCTTCCTCTAGCAATCTAGAATCAGAGGCAACATCTTCAAAGGCAGCTTCCACGGCTTGACCAAGGCGTACGCTAGACGCATACACCAGTTCACTGCGATAGATGGGTCTCCAAATCTGAATATTTGGGCCGAAGTGCTTCATCAATTTGTCTTTGAGTTTATATGTTTTGTATTCACTATTGTAGAACTCACTGTGATTTTCAGACATATACGAGCGATACTTCTCTTTCAGAATGGGGATCCTCTTAATATTGTTTCCTTGAATGATTGATTCCTCGACATAGTTACAGATATACTCAAAAGCATTCTCCAGAGCTTTGAACATGGCCTTATCAGTCTCCGACGTTCATGTGGCAGCAAGACCTTCTGGATGGATGAATTGGTGGTAACAGGAAATATGATACCTGGTCTCCTTTAGCACAAAGTCAACATCTCTCCTCCACAATTGTCCCATTCTGGGTGTCCCAGAAAAATTTCCCTAAAATAATTTTGCTCGAAAAAATACACTATACAAAAATTTTCATTTTGTTTGCTTTATTTTATGCCAAAGCCTGTAATTTTATTTTCACACCACATGTTCAATGTAAGCCCTTTTCTCACCAATCACTGCCTGTGTTCTAACAGCTAGATTGTTCATCGCTCTTGGAAAAGCTTCATGCGGAATATTCCGAATTTCACGTCGGATGCTGTTTTTGAGTTGATCAAGTTTCCTTTGTTCGGTTTGGGGTAAATCCTACCCTTCATATACCCCCAGAGAAAGAAATCTGTGGGTGTCAGGTCAGGGAAGTTGGGAGGCCACTCAACATCTTCATGCAAGGAAATTTAACGGCCTGGGAAGTGTTGCAGTAGAAATTCTCTAGTTTCCCTTACGGTATGCGGAGGAGCTCCATCTCCCTGGAACTACTGATTTCTCATACGTATTTGCACATTCCTACGGCGAGCTTGTCTGCGCAGTTCCAGAATGTAGAAGTCCTCTATCATCTGATGATAGTTCACTTGATTCACAGTCACTGTTCTTCCAGCACCATCCTCGAAAAAGTATGATCCAATGAAACCATACCAGCCTATGGCCACCCACATCGTAACTTTAAGAACAGGCCGAGGAGTTTCTTCAATAAGTCGACTGCCTGGAATCTCAGTTCCCCAATATCGAAAGTGACGTTTGTTGATGTCTCCGGACAAATGGGCACAACATTCGTCGGTCATTCTGAAGTTTATGCAAAAAAATTTGCATCTGTCTCGACTTTCTCAGAGAACTATCATGCAAATTCTAGTCTCTTGCCTTTCTGCTGTGGTGTGAGCTCACTCTGACTGAATTTTGTACGGGAAGGCATACAAGTCGGCCCGAAGAATATGTTGCACCGATGACCTCCGAATGTTAGTCTCTTCAGAGAGTCGACGAATTGACGCCCTTGGACTGCGGAGGCATGACTCTCTCACCAATTCCTATTTTCAGGTGTGCGAGGTGTCGTGAGACCAGCACTCCTCCCTTTGTTCACATTGCAAACAGTTCCATGAGTGGAGAACTTGACAACTACCCTATCGATAGTCTTCCTATTAGGAGCACCACACTTTTTGTCTAGTGCCAAAACTCATTTTTTGTCTTTGATTTAGAGTCAATTGTGACATCCTTCATATTTTTGGTTGCTTGAAACAAAACTTGAGGGTACCTGAGAAAAAAAAATTAAATTATATTAGGTAGGAAATATAATAGTAATAAAGTGTTCTTGTGACACTCCTTTGAGGGACATTTTTCTGGGACACCTTACAGTATATATATATATATATATATATATATATATATATATATATATATATATATATATATATATATATATATATATATATATATATATATATATATATATATATATCACTAGTCGGGAATCGAACCCTGGACCTCTGCTTGTGAACAGGGATAGCTACCACCTCGCGCTATATGGACTGATGAGATATATAATTATATATGTAGCCTCGTGTTTCCTAGCAGGATTCGGTAAAATGCTGCTCCGACCACATAGTTGGCACGAGCAATCTCTGCTGGAGGTTCACGTTACTTAAAAAAGACGAATGAGCAGGCTTTGTGTGAAATAAAACAAGTCTAGAATTCTTCGTGTTGTTGTTGTGGCGCGGTGGTAGTGATCCCTGTTCACTTGGCGAGGTCCAGGGTTCGACTCCCGACTAGTGAAGTATTGTATGATACAATACCTTACAGACAATTTGTATGTATATTTATTTACATTTTGCAATATATCAAGTCTTGGTGGCGCAGGAATTCTATTTTACTATTTTGTATTGCGGTCTTCAATGGGCACCCCCTCACCCCCTCGGCCCCTCGGCACATTTACTCCAGGAAGGAGGGAGATT